TTCGGTGCAGGTGGTTTAGTTTTGGAACTCACTACCGGATGCTATACGAAAGGCTTGCCTACTCTAAATTCTAAGATGATTTGTGTTAGAACTGAAGAACTATTTTCTGTCACTACATATTGCATAAAACTTGTATCATTTATAATTTATTTATTTTTCTCTCGTTATTATAATACATTATTTCTCCTTCTTTAGATGTATGATTGCTTTGGTCTTTCCTCCCTCTCTTTACTCCATATTTATTTATTTTTCCTAACTTCTATTGGTTGCCTGGAAGAAAATAATGCTTATCAATAAGGTCGCCATTTGTGTACTGTTTTCAATAGTTTTTCATTTGCAATTTGTCCTGTTTAATTAGTGAAATAAATATTACTGTCATTAAAATGATTACTTTTTTTTCTCTCTCAGCAAACGTTGATTGGTGAGGTTTGTTTCGTATTGTGTAACTGTTTAGTAACAGCGGAACAATTGTTGGTTACATTCATGAGTCCATTTCTTCCGCTGTCGTTGTCTACCAGTAAAGATGGTTGCAGGCCGCAATTCCTACAAAACACTTCTACCTGTAGAGTGTGTAGTGTCATGTGTGGGTGTATTAATTGTTTCGGGTGTTGATTCTTGGTTTGTTGTGACCCGCCTGTTCACTCGATGACCACTGACGAATCGCATGCTGCAACGCCCAGCGTCAGCTCCAGACGTGACCCGGCGATCCCCGGGTAGCGGCTCTATACGTGTACCATTATTACGATTCTCCATATTTGATGGGTTTTCATATTAGTCGCACCTATAGCTATATTTTCGCATGCCCGCAACCCACGTAAGTCAAATTATTATTTAATCAAATATTGGTATCAAATGAGATGGCGTAAATTATAGAATGTAATAAAAAAAATCGAAGATGGCCGTCACCCAAAAATAAAGAATAACAAATTTTCGTATAACACATTCAAAAGCAGTTTTTAGAATTTTGTCTTAACATCGAATTATGTTTATCTAATTACTATTAATAGTTTTCTATTACTTCATCCTACGTCAAAGTATTTCAGGTATTTATTCTTTGAAAATAAAGTCTAACCCTCTAAACGTTTAAATTCTTTTTTGTAATACTTGGATCTGTAGTAAGTACCTGAAACAATGAAAAAAAATCTAATTACAAAGAAAAATATTTTAATAATAACTTTTAAATAGTGAAGCTATGACAGCAGCAGTCTATTGATATTGTCGTGGAATTATGTCACCGGCAGTGTTATTCTATCTTAATAAAAACCGTCTTGAAATCGACATGGAGCGTGGAGCAAAGATTCAATTAAATAAAACCTACTTCAAAAGTTCATAAAAGTTTATTCCATTTAGGGCCAGTTTTTTGATCCGTAGTCAAATGTCATTTCACCATTTGTTAACTTGACTATAGTTAAAACATTAACAAGTTGTTAACTCGCTATTTTGTTTTTTGATGCCAAATTAAACCATAGCCAAAGGACATCGCCGAAAATGGCCCCAATACCAGTAAATATTAATACTTCAATAATAATTAATAATTAATTTATTAAATTGGTATCAAATATTTATTTGATACGGACAAGCTGCGATCCAAAATTAATATTTAAAAGTACTTTAACAGTAACATTTTTATTCGCAAATATACACATTCAATACACTTAAATTCTATTGAGTCAGATGGATGTTATCAAGAAGATCATTTATTTTTATTTGATAACCTTTAAATAATCGAACACAAAAACATTTAATTAAATTAAAAGAAAAAAAACTTCAGTATAAACGTCAAATCATTTACTAAAAGCGCCATCTCTTGGTGGTTTTCCAAATAAAACATAAGGAAACTGAATATTATACAAACTAAATTCATTAACTGAACAAGAAACAAGAACAATTATTTTATATAGTACAAATATACTTAGGATGATCAAGATAAAAATATAACTTATTTTCAATAACCCTATAACCCAAAATGACAATAAATATTTTCCTATGAAATTGCATTATAAAACGAAATCCCAAAAATAGCTAATGTCCAAATTCACTGTTAATTAATGAAATCATGAAGGTTATAAAAACAACGTAAAAAACAATAACAAGGGACCAAGTAAATACAACGCAGTTGTACATCTGTTCTTTTAACCATTGGTCATTTACTTAACCTAGCTTCCAGTGATGGTTAAATTTTTTGGCCAATGGTTGTAATTTTGACAATTGGCTAGGCTAACTATTAATCAAAAACATATTTTTATGATATTTAACCATTTGTCAAAGATTTTAACAAATGGTTGAGTTAACCACGGATCAAAAAACTGGCCCTTAAACTTTTTTTGTTAACGGCAACCTCTTTAGATGGGTGTTATTTATATTAGGGGTTAAAGTATGAAATTGTCGTTTTATTGTAATAGGTTCCTTGAATAGACAAAGAATCTTTATGGTTTGAGGTTTTCGGAAGAAACTTTTTTAACATGGTTTCTATGTTGTTCTTCTTTTAAAAAATGTGAAGCATTTGAATATGGGCTTTCAATTGTTTTTGTTATTCAAGTTAGACAAGAAAGATGGATACTGTGAAATTCGAGTAATTTTTGAATACGAGTTCCGATGCGGAAGTAACTCGGCAGAAACAGCCTGCAATATCAATGTTGCGTTTGGAAAAGGGTCTGCTAATGAACGCACCGTGTGATTTTGTGATGAAAACTTCGACTTGAAGAACAAGCCACGAGGAAGACCGCCCACATAGGTGAATAACGATGAATTAAGAGAGATGGTGGAAGCCGATCCTATTCAAACTACCCAGGAATTAGCGGCATGGTTAAAAATTACCTTACCTACAATATTGACTCATTTGCGTTAAATCGATAAAATAAATAATGCTAAAACTGGGTGCCTCATGATTTGACTGATCTACAGAAAGAAACGCGTGTTGAAACTTGTGTTGCCTTATTGAATCAGTACTGAAATGAAGGAATATTGGATCGAATTGTGACATGTGATGAAAAGTCAATTCTTTATGATAACCGTAAAAAAAAATGCGATGGCTGAACCCTGGTCAAACGCCACAACAGTGTCCTAAAGCAAAACTTACCAATAAAAAGGTAATGGTAACTGTCTGGTCAAGTAATAACGGCAGATGTCTATTGCGCCAAACTCCTAACAATGTTGGCAAAACTAGCAGTAAAACAGCCCCGACTAATGAATCGATCTACACCATTATTGCTCAATACCAACGCGAGACCTCATACAGCACGAAAAACCGTTTTGACCCTTCAGGAACTGCAGTTAGAAACCATTCTTCATCCTCCGTATTTGCCAGACCTTGCTTGATTTGATTTGTTCAATTATCTACGTGACAAGAAGTTTTCTTCTCAGGAGGCAGTACAAAATTCTTTCACAAAGTTTCTGCAGTCTAGATCTTCAGAGTTCTATCGCAAAGGCATAAATGACCTACCTATTAGATGGCATCAATGTATAGATAATATTGGTAACTATTTTGGTTGAATAAATTTGTAAAAAAATTCACAATTTTGATTTTCATTACATATCGGCATTTTCACACTTTAACCCCTATTATTTAGTTTAATTTTTAACATATTTTCTGTTATTACTATTACTGTCTTTATGTTGTTCTTTTTATAACATATAATTTTAATAATTATCAACGCTAAATTGTCGGAGCGCCGTATTCCACGTCGAGTTAGAGGCTGTTTGTAATAGCATAAGTAAGATTCGACTCGAAACTAACTAGGCGTGTAGGCATTCTGCTCGCTATTCCACTTCTTCCTAAGCAACATTTCAATAGACAATATTTCCTTCATCCACCTTTTCCAATACAGTTAGCAAGTCGCTGTGATATTCTCTAATACTAACTGTTTCCTAAGCAACAAATCTGAGTCATCAAAAACGTCGATTATGGGTAAGTTAGATGAAGAACCCATCAAGAAACTGTCAGGCTGAACAGATACGTGCATCAAAGGGCAACTGTTAACAATATTTTTACCTCAAGCACAAGCGTACTCAGTACCGCTTCCGTGGAACTCTTTACTTTTAACATGACTTGGAGGGATGTTTTGAAACTCCGAATTAGGCGAACAGTTTACCGGGAAGGCCGACCCCGTTTAAACATGTCCTTTTCAGGTCGGGTGCGGGGTCGGAGAGCCCTCGTTTAAGATAACGGAATAGATGTTGCTACGTCTTGAGTTACCACAGACCTTAAAAATGAGACTAGAGACTTATTAACACACACATTTTACGACACATATGTTTTGATTGTTTCTCTTAAACTATGTCAGCGAATTAGGGATTTGTTATTTGGTTATAAAAGCAAAACTGCTAATTCGATTTATATAAAGTTATAGGACCACCTCATAAGCTTTTGAATAAAAAAAAAAAATTCGACAATCGGTTTCAACACAATACGGGTGTAGACAGTATATGAAAATGAATAATTTTTTTTTCTGGTAGTGTTTAATATTCTATTATCGACAATCACACTTTTATGCTTATTATATTTACAATATTGCCTAAAGTTATTATGAAAAAACTAATATTTTATATTCGTCGTTATATTTTGCAACCGCAAACTGTCACGTGTACAAAACTGTTTTATACGATGAAATGAAAAAATATTTGTTTTCGCGTTTTTAGAAATGTAAAGTAGCTATACCACGTGGTCGAAGTCGCGGGGAAAAGCTAGTTCTGTTATAAAGAGTATTTAATTACTTAAGCTACAATCTTAATACATAGAAACATAAATAAACTTTATCATCTTAAAACGTATTCATAACTAACTCAAAATTAATCGCACTAAATAATCTAGCAAGATCGATACAATAACTTAATTCTGGTATTGTTATAAAAGAAGGTCGGAAGCCGACTTCTATAATGCATCATTTGCAAAATAAGGAATCAAAAAAATCTTAAAGCAGTTGATCATCGTGTATTATTTTTAGTTTATAAATAAAAAATAAACTATTCTTCCAAATTTCAAATTTGTTTATTAAATCTCAGTGAAAACCATTAAGCATTGTTCTGTATCCATTGAGTGTAACGAGTGACGCGAGCGTTGATACCAGGAAAGTGAGCCATTGCACATCCAAAGCCAAACGAGCACACGCCGACGACGACTCTATTATGGTAAAGTGGACCACCAGAGTCACCCTGGCACTGGTCACGACCTCCAACGTCGAGCCAGCCGGAGCACAACATGTTGTCGGTAATCGTGACGCCTACCGCCGCATAACGAGTTCTGCAAACTGCTTGGTTCACGGTCCATATTTGGACGTGTCTCAGTTGATCAGATAATGGACCGCCGATCTGAAATTTAAAGACCGGAAAATTTTTAAATGGAAGAATGGAAAAAGCATTTACAATAAGATACTCGTATTCTAAAAAATTAAACAAAGCGATAAATTATGTCATAAAAAAAGACATTACCTAGAAATAGAAGAACACCTGATATCCGGTTGCACAAACGTCTATTAAAACTGGCAATGATCTTAAGTGTCATTCGTCCAGTGTCACGTTCAAAAACTGTTTTTTAAATTTGTATTGGTAATTTCGCATTAAAATAATGACGCTTTTTAACGGACGTTAGTGAAACGGGCGGATTATCTATAAAAATTGACAAATTTATAACATTCGTCGTCATTAAACCTTAAAAAACTATCTGTACAATCGTTTGTTAACAATGAACATACTTTTTTATTACTATTACTATTAACTAACAGTTAGTTACTGAATTGAGAAAAGTACAACAAATCTCAACTCATTATACTCAATAACTTAAGTTTTTTTTTCGTACAACATGACAAAAAGTCCTAGTTTTATCAATCTGTTATTAATTGACGTTTGAGTGACGTTTAAGAAGGTTTAAGTACGGTTTGAGACGTTCTTAAATTTAAATTCTCATTTCAGAAACCGGGTTTTAGATATATAATTTGGTAATTATGATCTCATTACAAGTAAGCTTAGGAATACAATATCTATTAAAAATTTGTCAGAACTCATCTTACAGACCGAAGAATGATACTCACTTGTTGAATTCCCCAACCAGCAGCCCAGACTACTTGGTTGTCCGCAAGGAAATAGTTGGCACCAGCAATACTTCCAGGTTGAACGGCATTATTAAATGCAATATTGGCAGAAGTACGGATCATGGAGATGTCATTATCGAAAGTAATAGTGTTGTACTGTGGGTGATTGATGATAAGCGATGAAGCATGTACCACACCACCCCAGTTGGAGAAGGTGGATCCCACACGCGTTTGCCACCTGTGTGCCGGGTGACCACTGTTGATAAAAATTATGGTTACCTTCAATTTTGACAAATATCATCATCATCAGTCTTTTTACGTCCCCAATGCAGGGTTTCAGGCCTTTCTTATGGAAGGGTAGGGGGATGGGCCATGGCCCATCACGCTGGCCCTATGTGGGTTGGAGGATATTAACGAAGTACGGAGTAATTCAAAATAATAAATTTTTGGTCACCCATCCCGTGACCGACCCTCACAAAAGTTGTTTAAAAACAAAAATCGCGGGTCGCGGCACTTATCCACTAAGCCAACGAGCTACTCTCCTTTAATATTACACATACTAGTTAGATATTTTAAATGATTTAAACATACATGGTACAGTGAGCAGCAGTCAGAATGGATCTTAGGTTAAGGATGGTGCCGCCACAGTCCTGTACATGTCCGGATGTGCCCCAGGAAAATAATAGAGCGGCAATCTCTGGATACTGATTGATGGTCGTTACAGATCCACCAACAATTCTCTGTTGACTATTCGACGCGGCTGGAAAAAATATATTAACATTAACTTGACTATCTATCATTATATAACGGTAAAGCAGCAGTAGTGTATCATTCTTCCCTTTCTTCGGACTTACATTCAAGAGGCTGAAAGAAAATCACACGCTATTACGTTGTCTTTGTTACAATATCAAAGTAGGATATATTTAAAAGTTAAAGTATGTTCTTTGATTATACAGAGTTATTTGTAAAACATAAGAAACTTCGGAGAACTAGACAGCTAACCATAAACAACCACGTTTAAACTTCGAATATAACCATAACTCAAAATTTTTAAACAAAAATGAGGTTTCGTGTTTATGTTATACTGTCAGGTTATTTGTTTTTTATTTATTCAAGGACAGCTAACAAGACATTGCATTGATAATATTCATAAAAATCACATACAAATTAGTTTTGCCTCGGTTACATGCTACCACCGCATATACAGGAGGAAGTTCGTTACTGTTTGATAAGATTACAATAACAATTAATTATTCTTTCTAATATAAATAAATAAATTTTTCAATAAAAATCCTAATCATAACTTTTTTCGTAATCACTTTATTTAATTATGGCTTCTATTTAACGCCGATTAGTGTCCTAATTGCTCTTAAAAATTTAGAAGAAAACAATTTAAAACGCGAGTGTCTAACATGTTTACGTGGAACGAACGAAAAGACCTGAGCACTCTTAACGCATCGCTAGCAATTCTATTTAAAAAAAAAAATTGATCTATAATAACATCTTTGATACTAGATCTGCGTATTATCAACATTCAATCTAATAACATTACGTGCATCTAGTATACAATCCAACAACTAAAATAGTTTGCAAAAGCAAAATGTAATCAATTCTCAAAAGTATATGCTTTATTGTTTATGGTGTTGATTTTTCTGGTTCTGGTAGATTGCCTGTGTTTTACAAATTAACCTATATATCCGTTTATAATGTTGATAGGTTGTAATAAGATTGCTTCCCATTGAATTATCAAGTAATGAGAATCAAAGGGTATATTTGAATGAAGAAACCATGACAAAAAATCATGCAAATTTTGTTTTTAGATCATGAAAGCGAATGTTGATTTAATTATTAATATTGTCTTACCTGCAGCGAGAGCCAGGGTCGCTAATAAAGCAATTAATACACGCATGGTGGTAATTGTCCCAACACTAAACTACGATTATATTTCGTTTAGTGTTTTTATATGAAGGTTGTTTATCTTATCCATGACTATAAATGATTAATTCCAATCCAAACGCACATTGATAAGTTAATAAGATAACTATAAATTACATACCTAATTTACATATTATTGACATGTTGTCTGTCTGTCTGCATCTTATGGACCGTGAAAGTTGCACAGTTGATATTTTCACAGACAAGTATTTCTGTTGCTACTTCAACAACAAATACTAAAAACCAGAATAAAATAAATTTCGCATTCACAAAGCTATACTGGAAAATATTCTTAATGAAAAATTCCAGGGACCAAGTGGATTTTTTAAGCATTTTTTAAGCTCGATTCCGGTACGGAACACTTTTTTTTTTGACGCTGAGAGATGCGTTACGCCTACCCGCTTCACCCTGCGCAGGCTCCACGGGTGATGTGGGACTCCTCCTGTGGCCCCACCCCCGAAGGGGCTAGACAAGAAACAGGAGTTTACCCACTAAAACTCAGCGATGTCCCTCGGATGGAAGGCGATGCGCGGGATCAGCTCGAAGGCCCCCGTTTCGGACCGCCCTGAAAAGAGCAGGTCCCACAGCGGATTGGGAGTACGTCTCAGAGACATTCGAGACGCACCCCCACGACGAGGCAGGAGCGTGCAATGCCGACCGGTGCGCGAACCGGCCAGCTGCCCTTGACAAGAGACCAGAGATGCGCAATTGTGCAATCTCCGGTCCCCTACCCATCGTGTTGGGAGGATCCACACAGGCAGAGCCCTTATCGTGGATTCCCCCCACCGGTACGGAACCCTAGGAAATAAGAATCATCTGTTGTATAAAATTTCAGCTTAAATTAATCTCAAGTCTTTATAACTAATCTCAAGTCTTTATAACCGGTAAGTTCAGTTTAGAACCACAGATTAGAAAAAAAGAGCGCTGCAGTATCTTTCATTATGCGAGTTACAGTGGTTTTTAACAGTCGGCATGCTACTTCTACTCTTTTTTCTGTTTTGTGCTCAGAACGATCACCCATATCGTATGACACGTCATTACATTACTATGAGGTGTACGTAATTAAAAACGCCGTCTTTTCGTAATGCGGCTACTTCCATTGCGCAGGCAGCAACCCGCGAGTTTGGGTGTTATGGCACTTTAGTTGTCCCAAATACTCCACAATGTGGGTGATTAGCTACTTGTCTTGAAATCTGTGCTTCGTTTGTGTCTAATATTTAATTATTTTTCACTTATATACCTATTGTAGGTAAAGTAGCGAAATTCTACAAAGATAGAAAAAAAACTTTTATAGTAATTAATGTTTTAACTATATATCGCGCAATAACTACAATTAATATGACACTTGTAATTTAAAGTGTCATTATATTGATCACAATTACAATAAATATGATACTTTAAATTACTTAAATTGATCGCTATATTATATCGCATTTACTCGGGCGACGACCCGTGGGCATAATTAAAACCGATCGATATTTCAACTTTCTTTTTCTTTCTCATTTCGTAAAGAAATAGTTTTGTTTGCAGATGACACTTAACTCGTATTTAAAATTAAAAGAGAACTGCCACTTAATAACGATGCGAACAATTTTATTGGCAGAGTAGTACATTAGTTCAATCTAAAATTTGCATTGCATAATCTTATACAGGTAGATATAATGTGAATATAAAGGATAGGTACATGGGCCTTGTGGATACTAAAACATTTTTATTACGTTGGATTCTAAACTTCCGAGATTTATTGGTAGATTAATGAATAAACTTATCTCTTTATGAAAACACGTCGTTACAATATTATGATCGAAAATAATATTGGTTTGATTTCAGATTTTTTACCCAGCCAAATCTGTGGCCACGACATCAGATCCAAACGTCGGGAAATATAGATAGAAGAAAACCTTAACTATCTATATTTTGCGTTAATACCCGTTTCATACAATCTAATATAATGCAACGCGAAAGTTTAAAAGTTTATAAACCAATGCATACATTCTACAGATCTGATGACGATCTTGTTTTTCTATTTAAAGTTGCCTAACTTCCTCATAACTGATAGGAGACGCTACAAAAATGCCAACAAGTTCCTCCTAGTCAAATTGAATATAATCTATATTTCAATGAATCAAATAAATCAATGGCCGCTGCGCTGCAAGATAGCTGCTACACCTATCTTTGTAATCAATAGGTGTCATTCGTTATATTTGGACGTTCATATCTGATGTGATATTTTTGTTACTTTTCTTCGAAATCTTATCTTCTCATATTTAATTTTAATCATTTAATTGACTCCCAGATCAGTAAGCCGTGAAATTATTAAAAAAATGATAGAACTCAATTGATATGATGTTTTTTAGTAATAAACATATTTCCTTGAAAGAATAACCCTGATAACTGATTTTTCAGTATTATTTACTCATTTCATTATGTAAGTGCGTATCATTTTAAAATGAATAACATGTATGAGTCAATAAATTAGCCGCATAATTTAGCATGATAAATTTTAATAATTAAAACAATAGAAATAACAAGTACTTCTATTAATTTTTGGTAAACTTATTATTAATAATAACTAGCTTTCCGCCAGCGGCTTCGGCCGCGTGATCTAGTTTTACATCCAGAACTGAGAAAATTCCATAAAAACTGTTATTCCCTAATTTACCCCCTTAAGGGCCGAATTTCGTAAAATCTTCTTAGTGAGCACCTACGTTCTAAAAAGAACCCGCATGAGTTGACACTCCTAGCACTTATAGTTTCTGAGATTTCGTGATGAGTGAGTGACCTGTCGCTTTTATATATATATAGATAACAATTTATTTACGTTTCAATAGGGTACATAAAGAATATGGATAAAAAATACAATCATTGCCTATATGAAGGTCGACATCTATACCATCGGTTTGTATCCCGTAGATCGGTGGGCTGATTATTTAATTTAAAAAATATCGCAAATCTTTTCAAAGGTATATTCATTCTGATAGCGTTTTATGGCATTATATAACGAGAACCGGCCTGTCCAACATAACTATGTGGAGTGTTAGATTCAGCATTTTCGCAACCATAGCGGGCCAAAAAATACAAAATGACCTTCAGTTTTGGTTTATTTATTTAATTATATAAATAACATCACATAAATCTAAATATATTATTATTACTGTAACTATGTCTTTTAGGTTTTTGGGATTGAGTCGTTTGGTTGGAGATTACCCTGAGTGACCCCACACGTGATCCTGGGTGGTGCTAAACAAGCGACAACATACTGGTGGTAGGCTTAAGCCGTGGCTAGTAACCACCCACCGAACAAAGCCGTGGCGCCAAGCGGCCTAGCCGTGTTCCACCACGATATTCGGTGACGCCGTTAGTGGAGATAGGTCGAAGCGGTTGTTCCTTTGCTCGATGCCGATTTCTGGCTTGTGTCTTGCAGGCGGCATCGGGTAGCTGGTCTTGGTGGGTAGCGGGATCCGAGGCACGGTGCTTCGCTGGCCGACCGCAGTTAGTAGGGGGCCCAACTAGTGAGCTAGCCACTCATGAAAGGCTGCCCCGCCAACTAGCGAAAAATCCCGGAGTGCGCCATCATGCCGGTTGGCGACCGGATGTAAGGGCCTGATGGACAACCCCGGGGGGGCTCGGGCATCCCCGCAGTCTCCAGACCAGTTCCCCATCGGTGTTGCTGTTTGATGCGTGCCAAAAAGGCGTGAGTGTGGAGCAAGTGTTTCACTTCTAGCCTCACACCGAATCACTCCTGCACATGCAAGTAAGAAAGAGAAAAAAGGGTCAACAGCGGATGCACTCCCTTACACTCAAAGTGCACCTCACTAATATAAGAGGTCTGCACTCAAATATCGTGCCGGTCCATAACCATCTGGAGACCGTAAAGCCTGCACTCTTTTTTCTTATGGAGACGCAGATAGGAAATCCGTCAGACGCGTCGTACTTGTTGTACCCCGGATACTTCTTAGAGCAGAATTTCAAGCGGAAAGCTGGGGTATGCCTTTACATCCGCGGCGACATTTGCTATCAGCGTCTCCGTAATCTAGAGGATCCCAAATTCTCTGTCCTTTGGGGCCTTGTGGACACAGGTCAAGAGAAGATACTCTATGCCTGTGTCTACCGATCGCACACAGGAGACGTGGAGACAACCAGGTTTCACGAATATCTCGTCGAGGCGGCGGATGCTGCCCAAGTGACGAACCCGACGGCCCAACTTGTGTTTCTGGGGGATTTTAACGCCTGTCACGAGACGTGACTATTCCCATACCGGAAAACAGACCATGCCGGGAGAGAGACGCGTAAGCTCGCTTTAGCGTTAGATCTCACCCAGCTTGTCCAATGTGCTACTCGGGTACCAGACGTCGAAGGGCATACACCCAATTGCTTGGACCTTCTGCTGACAACCGATACTCAGTGTCGGTATCGGCTCCCTTGGGTAAGTCCGATCACTACGTGGTGAAATCTGTGTCGGCCTACAACCAGCCCAACATCGGCCCTGGCGGCACCCGGCGGTTGTGGCGATACAAGTCAGCAGATTGGGATGAGATGCGATCTTTCTTTGCATCTTATCCTTGGCAGTCCGTATGTTTTTCCTCAAACAATCCGTCAAACTGCGCGGACGCTGTGACTGAAGTACTTCGACAGGGTATGGAATATATTATTATTATTATTATTATTACATCCCGTTTTCCGACGTACCGATGTCCAACAAAGCTCAACCTTGGTTCGGGACTGAATGTAGATACGCTGAAGCGTTGAAACAAGAGGCGTACCTGGCCTGGGTTGATGCTCGACACCGCAAGGCAAATGACATACGTGAGAGGAAACGAAAATTCAATAGCGCTGCCAAGTCCTGCAAGAAGGTGTTACAGAGGGCTCGCTCCAACCGAATAGGGGCCAAACTGGCTTCGTATCCTTCGGGGAGTAAAGCGTTCTGGACCCTAGCTAAATCGGTTGAGGCAAACTTCTGCCGTCCCTCATTGCCGCCGCTGCAGAAACCTAATGGTACCCTGGCCCACACCGCTGAAGAGAAAGCAAACTTGTTTGCATCTCTGTTTGCGGAAAATTCGCGTCTTGATGCTGGTGGCGCTGAACCTCCATCACAACCACCAGCCGGCCCGACAAA